TTTTTCTCTAGAGGGTCAGATGATAAATATCTTAGGCTTCATGTATGTGCTCGGTTGTAACATTCCACTCTGCCGTTGTAGTGTGAAATCAGCCCGTAAGCCATTGACTATGGTGTGTTTCTATAAAACTTTTATTTACAAAAACAGGCAATGGCTGGATTTGGTCCACAGGCCATGGGTTGCCAACCACTGCGTTAGAACTCCCTATAATGGTGGAAATATTCCGTGTCTGTGCTGTCCAATATGGTAGCCACGAGTCACGTGTAATTATTGAGCACTTGGAATGTGGCAAGGTGACTGAGGGGCTGGATTTAAAAAATTTTTTATTTTAATTAGTTTAGGTTAACACAGCCACATGTGGCTAGTAGCTGCAGTTTTGGACACTAGAGCTCCACACAGTGCCTTGAGCAGGTGTCTGGTGAGTGTGCAATTAAATTGGGGATTACACTTTTCTTCTGTTACCACCAATAGGATAAAATGATGACAGAGAGAACCCTGTTGAAGGAACGTTACCAGGAGGTCCTGGACAAGCAGAGGCAAGTGGAGGATCAGCTCCAAGTGCAACTAAAGCAACTTCAGCAAAGGAGAGAAGAAGAAATGAAGAACCACCAGGTTTTCTGTTTATGTTAAAATTGTCAATGAGTAAAGCTATAGTCCCTAATCAAACTTTAATTTTTTTTCCAAGTTAATAGAAATAGAAAAGTAGTATTTAATTTTTTAATGGTTATCATAGAATTTTAAGGATAAAAATATCCTTTGGGGACATCTTATTAAAACTCTCACTTCTGTTTTAGTTCAGAGAGAAAAGGATTGTTTACTTAATATAGTTTGTTGGTGTAATTGACAGTCTTTCTAGGAAATAATTTATTAGTCTCTTATATCACATATTTAAAAATACAATTCTAGGTGGATTAAAAACCTATATATAAGAAGTGGAAAAATCTTTCAAATTAGAAAAAAATTTTGGAGAATTTATATATATAAAAGGCTAATATGCTAAGTGTCCGTTCAGGTAATGACATCACGTAGCAATGCCCAGCTTCCTCTCCCTAGCAACAACTAGCCTCCTTGCAGTTTCTTCAGTCCAGGAACACAACTTGCTTTATAGCCAGGTGGAAACATTTCACACTGTAACCAAATGTCTGTGAAGAGTTTTCCTGTGCCTCATCTCATTTGATCCTCACAGTAGTCCTGGAGTAGGTAGATAGGAGACTCGGTGGAATCCTATTTTCTTTTCGTTAGCCGGAAAAACGGAGATTTAGAAAGCTTAGAAACTTGACCTGACTGAAAAGAAGAAATGGTGGACCTTGAAAATGACTTCAGGTTTTCTCACCGCTCAGAATATAGTCAAACACTGCTGCAGTTAAATATTTTACCCTTTGTTCTCCCTGCGTGATCTACAATAATAATCTGCTTTGTGTTGATATTTACTGCTGTGTTGCTGACAATTACCTGAAAGAGAAGTTGGGGTGCTTCACTGGGCTGGAAAAAGTTTATCTACATCAGAAAGCAGCTCTAATTAAGCAAGTTTATTCCATATTATAAAAGGCTAAGTCGACTCGCGCATGCGCCATACATATAAAGCTCTCGCTAGTGCCAATCGCACGCATGTGTTTCCATCTGTCATTGTGGATCGTGGATTTGGTTCACACTTCTATTATAGAGAAAGGGCATATAGCGATATTAAAATATTTCTTCTAATTAATTTCCTTTGAATGTGCACAAATTCGTGCACCAAGCCACTAGTACAGTGATGGCGAACCTTTTGAGCTTGGCGTGTCAGCATTTTGAAAAACCCTAACTTAACTCTGGTGCCGTGTCATATAGAAATTTTTAGATATTTGCAACCATAGTAAAACAAAGACTTATATTTTTGATATTTATTTTATATATTTAAATGCCACTTAACAAAGAAAAACCAAAAAAATGAGTTCGCGTGTCACCTCTGACACGCGTGTCATAGGTTCGCCATCACTGCACTAGTTTATATATAAAATCTCAAGTTGCAAGAGATCATGTTAAGCCAGGCAGAAAACCCAGAAGCCACAAACAATTTAATTACATGTAATTAAAAACTTTTGATACAGCAAATGACACAAAAAGTAAAAAAGATTAATGTTAGGCTAAGAGAAAATATTAGTAGTACATCTGATGAAGGGTTTAATATCCATGACATTCTGAGATTCATGTAAATTCATGGTAAAAGTCACAGAATCTACAGAAAACCAGGGAAGGTTATTGTATTAGTTCTCTATTGCTGCTGTAACAAATTACCATGAGTTTGGTGGCTTAATTTATAGGTCAGAAGTCCAACATGGGCGCCATTAGGTGAAAATCAAGCCCTTAACCGGTTTGGCTCAGTGGATAGAGCGTCGGCCTGTGGACTCAAGGGTCCCAGGTTCGATTCCGGACAAGGGCATGTACCTTGGCTGCGGGCACATCCCCAGTAGGGGGCATGCAGGGGGCAGCTGATCGATGTTTCTCGCTCATCGATGTTTCTAACTCTCTATCCCTCTTCCTTCCTCTCTGTAAAAAATCAGTAAAATATGTATTTTTAAAAAGTTCTTTAAAAAAAAACCAAAAAAACTTCGACCCTTTGGTGTGCAGGCTGATGCTTGTCCGGGCTGATGCTCTAACCATTGAGCACACTGGCCAGGGCAGGTCCTTCATTTTTAAAGACCCATGTTGTGATTGGATTGGGCCTACCCAGATAATCCAGGGTTACCTTCCCATCTCAAGATTCTTCCCCACATCACATCTATAGAGTTTCTTTTCCCATGGAAGGTAAGACATTCCAGGGATTAGGATGAGGAAAAGCAAATAGGTAATAAGTATATGAAAGAAGCACAGCTTCACTGGTACTCATTCATTTACTCAGCAACTATTTTTTGAGTTCCTGATCTAGGCTGTGAAGATTTAGTGGTGAACCAAACATAGTCTCTGCCTTCATTGAATAGTTATTATAGTTGGAGGAGACAGACAGTAAAAACAATGGGAGTTAGGGCCCTACCAGTGTAGCTCAGTGGTTGACTGTCAGCCTATGGACCAGGAGGTCACAGTTCGATTCCTGGTCACTATACATGCCCAGGTTTCGGGCTGGATCCCCAACGGGCGTGCAGGAGGCAGCTGGTCGATGATTCTCTCTTGTCATTGATGTCTCTCTCTCTCCTTCTCTCTCTCCCTCCCTCTCTCTCCCTTCCTCTCTGAAATCAATAAAAACATATTAGAAAAAAAAAAAAGAATGGGAGTTAGGGAAACGCTCATTATAATTAGTTACCATTCCTCCTTCTCCCCCAAGGGATTGGCAAAAATGAAATAAGTTGTCAGGTGTGAGGAAAAATGGGTTCTTTTTCAGACATTGGTAGGAGTATGAATTGTTATGACCTTTTTGGAGATGTTATTAGGAATAGTTGGTTAAAATTTAAAATGTACATATACTGTGACCTAGCAATCTCAGTATTACGAGTCTGTTGAACAGAAATAGAAGTTTTTGTATGAAAGTGTACACATCTAGAGTGTTTATTACAGCATTACTTACATTTACAAAAAAGCTGAATTCAACCTGATGGGCTCTTGACAGAGAATGGTCAGACAAATTGCATATATGCACATTATGTCATATGCAGCCATTTTTGAGTTAGATCTATGTTTATTGACATTATCTTCATTTCAAATGAAAAAGAAATCAGGATACAGAATAACATATATAAAATGACCTCAGTTAAGAAAACGCAGCCCTAACCGGTTTGGCTCAGTGGATAGAGCGTCGGCCTGCAGACTCAAGGGTCCCAGGTTCGATTCCGGTCAAGGGCATGTACCTTGGTTGCGGGCACATCCCCAGTAGGGGAAGTGCAGGAGGCAACTGACCGATGTTTCTCTCTCATCAATGTTTCTGGCTCTCTATCCCTCTCCCTTCCTCTCTGTAAAAAAATCAATAAAATATATTTAAAAAAAATAAAAATAAAAATATATTATAATTAAGCTCAAATATGCAAGTTAAAATAAAAGTAAGTCAATAAAACTCTTAAATTAATGACTTAAATTAAAAAAAAAAAGAAAACGCAAAAACAGTGAAATACATAAGTATACATGTGTTTGTGTGAGAATGGAGAAAAATGTGAAAGCACAAAACAGTCAACGCTTTGATTGTTATGGATGGAATTGGTGTGAATTAGGGAGTGACTTAACACGATCACTTTTTTGTGTGTGTGTGGTTTTCCATCTTAAATTTTTTTTTATTGTCTAAAGTTGTACGTATGTCTCCTTTTTCCCTGATTGACATCTCCCTGCCCCCTCGACCCCCCAGCCATTCCCACCCCGGGTAAGCCCCCACCGTCCCAGTGTCTGTGTCCATTGGTTATGCTAATATGCATGCTTACAAGTCCTTTGGTTGCTCTCTAACTCCCCCACCTCCCCTGCCATTTGTCTCTGCTATTTTTGTTCATCAAATTATGTTGATCATTTTATCCCACATATGAGTGAGATCATGTGATATTTACCTTTTAACTCTGTCACTTTTTTATAACTTAACTTCATATTAATACATATATATATATTTGTTAAATAGTGAGAAAAGAAAAAATAACATCGCACGTAATAAAGTAGGACCATAACACAGCAAAACAAGACCATATTTGTTGAAAATAACAAATTCCCACCCTGTGCAAGAATACCTTTCTCAGCATTCTTGACTGGTTCATTTAGCCTTTATTTGAACACCAGTAATGGAGAGCTTATTGCTATACAAGGCAGTAAATTCCATTTTTTGAATAGTTAGAAATTCTTTCTCCTCTTGAATTGAAATCTGCTTTAGTGTAACTGTCTTCTTTACATCTGAAAACTGGCTTTAGGAGCCACCCATCAGCCAGCTTCCTTAAATTCAATTTGAGTTTACTAAATTCAATATGTTAAATTGTGATAGTTCAAAATAACTTTCAGACCAAAAGAACTAATTCATTTCCTTCTTTATTTGTATGTGCCTGTAATTGTGTGGGACTCAGGAGATATTAAAAGCTATCCAGGATGTAACGATAAAGCGAGAAGAAACAAAGAAGAAGATAGAGAAAGAAAAGAAAGAGTTTTTGCAGAAGGAGCAGGATCTGAAAGCTGAAATTGAGAAACTTTGTGAGAAGGGCAGAAGGTAAATGATGCTATTAAGAATAAAAACCCTATGTATATGTGTATGTGTATGTGCATAAGGGGCCAGTCCTGTTTGTATTTCTAGTTTCTTTTCTCTCAGTCTAATTTTTATTTTAAAAACAAGTACACAAATAAAAATCCTCTAATGATTTTAGCTTTTCCAGTACCCTGTGTTAGAGTTAATAAAGGAACTTTCAGAGATTCATTAATACCTTGAGATAATAGTAGCTAATTGTTGGGTCCCAAGTTTGATCAATATTTTGATGGGCATCTACCACCTATTTTACTTGCTTTATAACCTGATTTTTTAAAGGTTCAGTCTATGAGAATACTTTGATTATATTTATGCTATTCAGTACCAAAAGTAAATTTCTAAAAGTAACACTCTAAGTTATTTGTAAAGAATTGTATAGTGGATCTGTGTCCTCTTTGGGCACTGCAGCAAGAGTAAGGTGGGCATAGGTCTTGATCACATTTTCAGTCTTTCAGATTTCTTAGCCTGAGCTGTTTGGAAATCAAAATAACTGTGAATACCATGGTGACTTTATTTAAATTCTACTAAAATGTATTTTTCTTTATCAAAGAAATCTTGGTTTGCTAATATGTGAAAGAGCTAAGTGAAAAGTAGCAAGCTCATTTGCTGAATCATTTTCCAAGCATAAAAGATGATAATTGTGAAAGGCCAACATGAGAAAGAATGTTTAGAAGATGGCCTAAAGACCAATTAGTTGTTCTATTGAGAATCTAGTGATAATGATTAGAAGATGGGTCCATGATGATCCATATGCCAGCAGTTAGGAAGAATGTATAAGAAGCAGAACACTGTACTAGGCTTTGTTGTCAATCCAAACAGCTAACACCACTGCCCAACAACATGGCCTGTGCCATCGTCTTCATAGTCTCTGTGTAGGCACCTTAAGCAACTTAGCAGCAGATATCTTAAACAGCAGAAGTTGGGAAGGTGAGTCTGTAATTTTATACTAAGCTCCATGAAAGATTTCCTTTTGGTGTGTGCTCCATACACTCTACATATCTCTCTTCTTTACCATCTGATTGGGTAGCTGCAAATGGTGATTGATAACAATTTGGTAGTCTTAAGGATGCAATTGGGTTTTTTTATGCGTGTCATGCTTTCTGTCATTCTGTTGAATTTGGGGTTCATTTTTTCAGAAGTAGGGGAAGAAGTCTTCTGTTTGTATCTTTGTTCTAGCAGTGATGTATAGGTTTAGTTTAGCATTCTATTAAACATAGGAACTGTGGGCACAAAGATTTTGGTCATTGTATTAATAAGTATGCTCAGGCTCCCATAGCAGAGTACCGTAGACTGGATGGCTTAAACAACAGAAACTTATTTTCTCATAGTTCCCGAGGCTTGAAGTCCAAGATCAAGATGCTGGCAGGGTTGGATTCTGGTGAGACCTCTCTTCTTGGTTTGCAGACACAACTTCCTTCTTGTTGTGTCCTCACATGGCCTTTCCTCTGCACGCACACTCCTGGTGTCTTGCTTCTTCCTATAAAGACACCAGTCCTATTGGATTACAACCCCATCCTAATGACATCATTTGATTTTAATTACCTCCTTAAACACCCTGTCTCCACATGCAGTCACATTGGGGATTAGGCTTCAACATACGAACTTGTGGGGGGCACAATTAAGTCTATAACAGACATATTCGCTCTTTGTAGCTCTTTCATGCATTCGGCCAATCTTTATTGAATATCTACTGTAAGTCAAACAGTATGGGTCTGGGAAATCAAAAGCCTCAAGGAGCTTATTGGTTAATAGGGGAAATAGGTAAATAAATGGATAATTACAAAAGAGTATAATGATACCAGGGTACTGGTACCATTACAGCAGTTCTCAACCTGTGGGTCGTGACCCCTTTGGTGGTCGAACGACAATTTCACAGGGGTCACCTAAGACCATCCTGCATATCAGATATTTACATTACGATTCATAACAGTAGCAACATTACAGTTATGAAGTAGCAACGAAAATAATTATATGGTTGGGTCACAACATGAGGAATTTTATTTAAAGGGCCAGAAGGTTGAGAACCACTGCATTAGAAGAAGCATGTAACCAGACTGGGTAGGGAGAGTCAGGACTTTCCAGGGGAAATTATTCCAAAATTGAGTCCTAAAAGATAAGGGGAAACAAGACCAGCAAGTGCAATGTATCATCCTTGGTTTGATCCTGCGTTAAAGAAACTATAAAGGACATTTTGGAATAATTGGGAAAATTTGAATATAGACTACATATTAGATAATACTATCAATGCTAAATATTTTGAATGTGATTATGGTTTTTGTGATTATGTAGTACGTTGTACTTGTTAAAGTTTTAGGGCTTAAGCCTCCTCTTTGTTAACCTCCAAATAAAATCTAAACAGTTATGTGAGTAGCAGCAATTCCTAAATTGTATGTATAAGCTTTCTGCCTTTTAATGGTAATAGTGAATTTTTCTGACACTTGTCAATTAACTTAATAATAAAGATCATCTAATTTCAAAATAAAATAAAATAAAGTTTTAGGGTTTAAGTTTCATGATGTCCAACTTTCAGGTGATTCAGAGAGAGAGGTAAAATAAATGTGGCAAAAAAGTGTAACAACTGCTAAATCTAGAAAAAGGGCATATTTGTTCATTGTACTACTCTATTAATCTTTCTGTTGGTTTGAAACTTTCAAAGAAACATTTGCAGTGCTGAGAATTGGCCAGGCAAAGAATAAGAGAAAGACATTGCAGGCAGGAGGCCCCCAGGGAGATAGCGACAGATGTGAGGTGTAGAGGAATGAGCTACCAAAGTAGTTAGAAGCCAGATCATAAAAGACTCACTCGGTAGAGGGTTTGGGTTATTGCCCTGATAGAGATTTTGAAAGATTTTAAGGTTCGAAGGGTAGCAAAGGATGAGATTTGCATTTTAGGTCTATGACTTTGACAGTTGGAAAGTAGATTGGGGTAGTGTAGACGACCCTTTGGAAGACTGATCTGTCAGGACCGAGGTTAGCAGAATGGTGGCCCAAACTCAGATGTTATCAGTGGGGAGGCAAGAAGTAAACATGTTTGTAAGATGTTGGGGGTAGCACTGGTAGGTAGACAGGGAAAAGTTAGAGTAACTCCCATATTTCTGGGTTGGAAAATTGGGGTTCTTTTGTGAAAAGGGATTCTTTTTTAAGATGTCATCCATTGTACAAGTTTCAGCTTAAATTTCCCCTCCTTTGTGAAGTCTTCCTCACATTCTTCCTGAACTAATTTCTTTCTCCTTGGAACACCTGTCTGGCTCTCTGTGCATTGTGTTCTTTTACAGCAGAGTTGAGAGCTATATACCTGATAATTATTTGACAAGTATTTGTTGAATCATTGGATAAGAAATTAAGAGAATTTCACATTGATATTATATAAGCCGAATTTACTTAATAAAATTCTGCTACGTTCTTTGAACTATTTGGAGGTAGTCTCTATACACTTTAAGGTACTTAAATTTTTAAAGATGACAGTCCGAATTGACAAAAAAAAAATCCAATCAAATATTCAGGTTAGTCATGTATTTGATGATTTTTCCCGGACAGCTGGCTCCAATGTCATGGATGTTGTCTCTCTTTTGTGAGGGCTCTTTCTAGTTCCCAGCTTGCATCCTTCAAGATTATTGCTGGCATTAGAGAGTGAGGCTTCCGTGCTAGTGCTCTTCTGGGACCGCACTCCTGCCTTTGATAGTGACGCATGGAGAATGGCAGCAAGTGGGGCTCTTCCAGAATAACCTTGCAGTTTAAAGGACATCATCATTTGATTCATAGAAGTACTAGCTTAGAGCAAGCAGCAGAAAAACTGCAATATCAAGCATGATTCTTCTTTTCTTCTAATGTTCTGAGCTTACCTGATGAACTCCTGTGACAGAGCAATTGATTATTGTTGGAAGCATTACTTTGGATGTGATGTAAGAGTCTATGCTAAATTGAAATTGACAGGGTGCATGAGGATTCATTTTGCACATTTCTCACCAAGTGCTAGTTGATTTTATTGGGATGCTTAGAAGTCCTAATAGCTTGTCTAGCAATCAATAAACCTAGTGAGTGTTTCTTATGTGCTATAGCAGTGAGTCAAGCTGTTCCCATATTTTGATCCCATCCTTCAATCTTCCTAGCTTTCTGTGTCATAACCAGTAAATATACACTTTGAGCACATCAGGGCCTTTTTCTTGTTTGGTGACCTCTGTCTATTTTACACTAGTCTTTTTTTGTTAATCCTCACCGAGGATATTTTTTTCCCATTGATTTTTAGAGGGGGTGGGAGGGAGAGGGAGAGGAAGAGGGAAAGGGAGGAGAGGTAGAGAGAGAAAAAAGAGAGAAAGAAAGAAAGAAACATGGATGTGAGAGAGACATATTGACTGGTTGCTTCCTGTATGTGCTCCGACCAGGGCCAGGGATCAAACCTGCAGCCCAGGTCCCAGGTGCCCTTGACCAAAAATCGAACCCCTCACTGAGCACACTGGCTAGGGGTACACTAGTCTTTCAGATCCCTGGAAGCATTTTATTTTGGCCAGCTAAGATACATGGTTCATTACTTAATTACTCTCTTGCCTTTAGCATCAATTCTGTGGTTCCTTGTTCCTTTCCTCTCATTTTTCTGTAGCACTCCAGTCCTGGGTCAGCTTAGCCACCTGACCTGCTGAATGCTGCTGGAGAAAACCACACAATTGTGTATCTTGGGGCCAGAATAAATTTCTGGAGAAAACCACACAATTGTGTATCTTGGGGCCAGAATAAATTTATGATTTCCAACTTTACCTGGGTCTTTAGGACTTTCTCTTCCTCCTGAGGCCTGTTCTTAGCAGATATCTTGTTTTTTTTTGTTTTTCACTGAAAAAAGTAGTTTCCTCACTACTTTTTTCCTGTCTTTGTGTCTGAGTCTAAATCAGTGATGGCGAACCTATGACACGCGTGTCAGAGGAGACACACGAACTCATTTTTTTGGTTGATTTTTCATTGTTAAATGGCATTTAA